TTTTTCGATCAAAAATAATGATTACTTAATGATTTTTATTATTTCGCTCAAAGATAATAATTATTAGTGAGTTTTATTTTTTTCACTTAAAAGTACCAGCCCGAATAAGCCTAAAAATTTTCAGGTCAAAATTTCAGTAAGTTGCGTCTGTATAGCCTTTTCAACTTTATGAATAATCATTATTTTCAAGTGCAAAAATAAAACTCAATAATAATTATTATCTCTGAGCGAAAAAATGAGAATCATAAATAATCATTATTTGTGATCGAAAAAATAAAAATCAAATAATAATTATTTCCGCTGAGCAAAAATATCAAAAATCAATAATAATTATTATTTTAGAGCGAAAAAAAATAAAACTCATAATGATTAAATGCTGATTTAAATTATTTTACTCATAATTATTACCGTCCCTGGTAATCAATGATTTTTAAAGAATTACTTTATCTATTTTTTAATAAACTTTTCTTTGTGTGTTTATGTGTTTAAATAAGGCTACGATTTTGGTTTTAAACTACGTATACTTCATTAAGTTAACAAGAATCAATCATTATGTTCGCTTAAGTAAACGCATCGAGGTACTTAAGCGGGTTCTTTTAAGTACCCAACCCGCCTGAGTACCTCAGAAAGTTGACATTTTTCGTGAGGTACTTAAGCGGGTTTTACTGTAATTCAAAAAATATATATTTTCTTAGTTTTTTTATTTACATTTTCTTCATTGGTATTAATAAATCTTTTATTAAATATTTTATTAAATATTTGTAAAATTATAATACAACTAGTTTACACGAAAAACTAACCTCTGTAAAATGGTATTTTCTAGGCAAACTTTGGGTCGTTGAACACGAAAACCATACCCATTACTTCAAAGAAGCGTTTTCGAGGTATTCACAAAAAAACGTTATTCGTCAATATCTCTGGAATCGACCTACAGATCGAAAGGTATTGATAATCATTTTACAAAAATATATAATTTTTGAAGAAAGTGCCATAACGTCTACATTTCTCTTCAGACTTTCATTATCTTAAGGCTTAAACAGACGGCAACGTTGATCTGGGTTAACTTGGACTTAATCCAGATCAACTGCAGTTAATTTCCGAGTTGATCCGGATCAACGCTGCCGTCTGTTTATGCTTTTAGGCTCAAAATTTACTGTAATGATTTCACTTTTATATCGAATTTTAAGAATAATTTAAAATAGAATAAACTAAGAGTGTGAAATTTTTAATTTAAAATTTCACTTTTTTCGACTTTGCTCGCTTGTAACACTTTTCATTGAAATCGGCACAGGTATATATTTTTGTAAGATACCTTTCGAATTGTGGGGCTATTACGCTGATTGATTGAATTTTTTTCATAAGATATGGACAAATAGCTCCGAAAAATAAAATAAAAAAACACGTTTAGCGGAAAAATCTCGAAAACGCTTCTTTAAAAAGATAATTGCCTATTGTTGACGTGTTAAGCAAACCAAAATTAGTTTGGAAAACGTTTATTTCTTAGATTCAGCGTTAACTCAAAATTTTTAGAACAGTGCTACTGGGATTTTTTGATGCCGGTCTTAATTTTTTCGTCACCCATTGTAAATGGTCTTACAAAATATAGAACGCATGACTTGTTGAAGCTTCAAAATCAGCCTCATCCTCATGTAGTTATCAATCAGCTATCGCCACTGCCTTATATGTTGATAAGTAAAGGACTCCCGCCGTTTATTTTAAAATATCGAATAAAATGCGGGACGAACGCAAGACACTTGGAAAAAATCAGTACATTTGGAGGTTTTTCTGTTTTGAAAAACTACGCAGAACAGACCTTTGAATAACAGGGTGCGTTCAGAAAAGCATCAAGCTAAAGCATCAGAGTCTTTTATTTCTAAACTGTAATTGATGGAAATATTTTATTTGAGCAACTAAGTTCCAATTCGGCTTTTAACTGGGGTTGCGCATATTTGATATTTCCATCAATTATAGTTTAGAAATAAAAGAGACTGATGCTTTGGCTTGATGCATTTCTGAACGCGCCCACAGTACGGTCCTGCAAAAAACAGATCGGATGGCCACCGTAACTATATATAGTAAACAGCATGATACAAAAAAGAAGGTAGTTCCATTTAATGACATTCGTTGTTGCTGCTAACCATTTGACTGTTAATAAAATTATGACATTTCATCAAATTCATGCTGCCTGATCACTAGAAGTAAGAGATTTTTAAGCAGAAGATTTCTCAGTCCACTCCAGGTTGTGGAATATAATGGACCTGAAAATTATTACATAATAATTTAAGTTTTTTTCATTCATTGAAATGTTGAAATTAAAAATTTGTTGAAGTTAGTGGTGACACACTAACCACAAAGCCTAATTTTTTGCAAAATCTGATGAGAAATTTAAAAGTAAATTTTCACCAAAATATTATAAAAACGTTTTATTTAGGAAGAAAATTCTTTAGAATAACCTTTTTAAATCACATTCAACATAAGAAAATTAAAAATTGAACACATAATGCGTTCGTGATTTTTATTATAAAATAAAAAGAACATTTACGTTGAAGTCTCCTTTGGAAGTTTAAATTTTATATATTTTTAATAAAAAAGGTGCGAACAACGTGCAAAAGCCGGAAAAAAACATTTCCTTGTAAATAAATCCAAAATTTGCATGGCTCCTGACCATGGGTAAACAGCATGATAAAGACATTAGAAGGTAAAACCATTCTCCCACGATTTTTTTCTGACGTTCAAATAATTGAAAATAAAAAAATGAAATTGTTCCCAATTATTGTTGTTTGAGATTAAAAATGAGAATGTGTGTGTGAGCTTGAGTTCGAGTCTTAAGATTATATTGAGGGCAAACGTCAGACTGTCTCTCAATGATTTTACCTTGTAAGTCCCCTTTCAGACACGTCAAGTCTTGCTTTCAAGTCTGCTCGTTCGTTGGTGAAGGAGGTGGGAAGAGAGGGGAAGAGTACAGATACCTCCGTACCGTCAATTCGTTTCAAGTTTTCTTGTTCTCTTTTGATCTTTTCGTTGCTTCCCATTTAAAGATCCGAGGACTTGAATTTAATAAAACTTGACGCGTGTGGAAGCAAAGAGAAAACACAAACAAGAATGCGATAAAAATTGCTTTCAAGACTTGACGTGTCTGAAAGGGGACTAATGTTTTTATCATGAGGTCCATTCATTATCAAAAAATTGTTACGAATTGTTACTAGCACTTGCAAGTTTTTACTGGAAATGCATTCAATAACCCACAATATTTGCAAGCGAGTATTAATTCGAGAGCGTAACAACCCGAGATAGCTGCAAATTCTTGCAAGTAAAAATTTTACTAGCAGTAATTTGCAGAGTCAAAAAGTAAGGTTATGTTTCATATTCAAGTGTAAACAAACTGTTTAAGAGGATGATTTGATGAAACATAATTAGTGAAATGAAAATATGGATGAAAAATTTAAATCTATTGTATATTTTTTTATTTTTATGACGATGGGAACTATTCCCAATTAAAAAGAAAATTGCGCGCCAAAACTTAACTGTCAGAAAGTGTCAAAATGGCTTAAGTTGCAAGTTTTTACTAGTTTTGCGTTCAATAACTTTTTCTCTTGCTCTCAATTTTACTCTCTATTTTTCGTTTACTCTCTCGCTGCAAGTACTTACTGGAAAAGTTATTGAATGGACCTATGGTAAACAGTGTATAAACATATTTCTGCATTTGTTCCCTGCAGGAAATCCGACTAGCGTAGAACTAGACCTTTTGCACTCAGTACTAGTTCTAGCTCAATACCCAAGCAATGCTTTCAACTATCCAGATTTACTCGGCGATGTCAATTGTCACCCAGTACATTACTTGGCAACTAGTTTTGGACAGTTTTTTTTATAAGAAACCGTTTGTAAGATTCCATTTTTGGATATATTTTACGTTTTTTACGATTTTTCTTTTGCAGATTCCCTTTTTGTTACATACAGTCAGTTAATAAAGTTTAGGTACAGCGATTTTTTTACAATACGGGCAACTATTTTTTAAATATTTTATTTTTCTATTCAACAATTTTTATTGAGCTCGAGGCCATTTTTTTTTAAATGAAAATTTATTGTGGAAAAGCAACAATAATTTGAAAAAATGGTAGAAGTGATAGCTATTTCGGAAATCACCACATTTCCTCATCAGACTTCCAAACATTGTGCAAAATCAAAGAAAATTCTGCAAAACTTCATTCAAATATTGCACTTTTTATTTGCGCTCTCTAGAAAAAAGTTGAGTATGTAGTTTTTTAGCACATTCAATTTTAGTATAACAAAGCACAAGTTTGAGGTAACTAGGACTTACCATTGCTTTTTATAAATTTTTTTGTTGAAGGTGTCGCTCATTTTCTCTATATAAAATAATGTTTGATAATTTTTTTATATGGAAAAAATGTGCAACACCTTCAACAAAACAAAATCCTAAAAATCAATGGTAAGTCCTATCTTCCTCTTACTTGCAGTTTATTATACTAAAATTGAATGGGCTAAAAAACTGCATACTCAACTTTTTCCAAGAGAGCGTAAATAAAAATTGCAATATTTGAATGAATCTTGCAAAATGTTCTTTAATTTTGCACAAGGTTTGGAACTTTGATTTTTGGGGTTTTTGTTGTAGAATTAACCACATTTTTAGAAAAAATTAGCGCAAAATAAAATATTTAAAAAATAATTGCCCGTATTGTAAAAAAAATCGCTGTGCCTAAACTTTATTGACTGTGAATTTTATTAAAAAATAAAAATTATTGTAAGCTGTACACAACAATTTAAATTTATGCTCGAGTCGGAGGTCTTCTCGCTGAGCTACTTTCGTATTGTACGAGTAGTTAGCATTTACACATTTACATCGCAAGCTTCAACTGTCCCGCTCTGCATCCGTTTTGCACTAGTTCAGAGATGGTTATGATATATGTAGTTCGGAGCTAGCGCTTTGTCAGACTGTCTCTAAATTTAACTGCAGGGTAAGAATGAATGTATAAAGGTTATAGTCGAATCAACATGTTTACATCAAAAGCACTATTAGTTTACGGCAAAAATATAGTAAATCGCCTTTTTGCAACGGTAAGTAAAAACACTTTATTGGAAGTTCCGACTTTGATTTATAATACTTGAAATTGCTATAGCACATCAGCACCCCTCCTACAGCAGTCCGTGTTGTTGAAGTCGGGCCGCGTGATGGCCTTCAGAATGAGCCGAAAATATTGCCGGCAGCGGTTAAAATTTCGCTGATCGATCAATTGTCTGACACAGGTCTACGAACAATTGAGGCCACATCCTTTGTTAGCCCAAAATGGGTGCCACAAATGGGCGATAATATGGAAGTGATGTGTGGCATACAGAAAAGACCCGGAATCACCTACCCAGTACTTACACCCAATCTAAAAGGCTTCGAAAGTGCCCTGGCCGCCGGTGCCAACGAAGTAGCGGTGTTTGGTGCGGCATCGGATACATTTTCCATGAAGAATTTAAATTGTACGGTAGCCGAGAGTATGAAGCGCTTCAAGCCAGTATTGGAAGCAGCAAAACAGGCTAATGTCAAAGTGCGCGGCTACGTGTCCACTGTATTGGGTTGCCCCTATGAGGGTGCAGTGAAGCCAAGTGCAGTTGCCAAAGTTGCGGCTGAGCTCTACAGTTTGGGATGTTATGAAATATCATTAGGAGACACTATTGGCGTGGGGACGCCAGGTTCTATGCGCCGCATGTTGGAAGAAGTGGTAAAAGTTGTGCCACCGAAAGAACTTGCCGTGCACTGCCATGACACCTATGGACAAGCGTTAGCAAACATACTAGTCGCCTTGGAATATGGTAAGATATCTTGAAATAAGAAAAAATGTCATTTGCAAGATCATCGTAACGAATACCGGGATGCAGACCAGTTTAAAATGTATTAATACATTGCAATACGTCTACGCTTTTGTTTAATTATAACCGCATATTTAGTAGCAATCGAATGATGTGCAAGATTTCTTACTTTTTAATTTACATAGGCATAATAGTTGTGGACTCGTCAGTGTCAGGGCTTGGCGGCTGCCCTTATGCCCGTGGCGCCTCCGGTAATGTAGCGACCGAGGATGTAGTTTATATGTTACATGGCATGGGCATTGAAACTGGAATAAACCTCGAGAAGCTTATTGCGGTTGGGCGATTTATATGCCAAGAGTTGGGACGCGAAACCCAATCAAAAGTAAACCGTGCTTGGAAGGGCACACAACCAAATGAAAAGAATTAATCATATTTTAGCAGGTGAATATTGAAATTAAATAGATACAAGGAACAGCTCAAAAAAATCAAATATGGAAACGAATCTGCGATACTATTGCATTTATAAAACTAGTTTTATTGATATGAATATGCGTGTGTTTATTTTTAGTGTAAAGTAAATAAGAAGTTTTGAAAGTGTTTTCAATATAGTAATTACGATAAGTAAATCTAATTAAGACGAATTGGGTAACATAAAAAAATGGTTTGCATTTTTATAATGAAGCGCCTGTCTAAAATTTTTGTGCATCCTTCATTGTGTATAAAGATATGTCACCCGACATTAACGACAAATTCGCCAAACTGCCATTATTACGCTGCGACGCGTTCCCAAAGCTCGCTTTTTGTGCTGCTGCCTCGCGGTTTGCTTCTTTGGCAGACATTTTCAATTTACCTTCGTGCCGTACCACAGCTGGTAGCATAGCATTTTCAAGGTATTTTTGAATTTTCTTGCCACCAGGTATTGTAACAGGCGAGCGCTCATCAACGATCTATCATAAAAAAATATCCATGAAATTTATTTGAAATGTATATATCCTACAAATCCATGCACATATGTATATATCAATATTTACGTGTTTAAATTCTGATGAAATGTATGCCTTTTTCGGTAAACTAGAAGTCTTAGGGCCCTTATTCACCACGGAGCCGAATTTTGGTTGGAAAACTTTCGTTTCTTGCTCGAGCTCACGAAAGACAGTAGCATTGTGTACATCTGGATGTTCCGAACGCTGCCTTAAATTAGTCATTAGTGGAGTGGTGGCCGTTTTTTTCATGTAAGCACCGACAGGGCTAATAATATGCGAAAATTGTTTACGACCCGTAGGCTCCTTCAGACGTGACGGAATCGCTGAAACAGGTTTTTTAAATAACTCTAATTTAGGCATTGGTTTCATATCCATTACAAAGCGCTTATTCTTTTGTGCGCTTGTTTGCAGTGTACGCTTTGGGGTTGAAACAGGTGTTTTGGCTGAAATAGAAAGGAATATTGCAGAATTATAATGCAACTTTCACACTTTTATTCAATACCTTTTGTTCCCGTAACAATCGCCGTTGGCTTGCTATGATTTACCTTTTTAGGTGATGACCAGTTACTATTTTGCTTCTTTGGAGAAAATGTAAATGTCCTTTCCTTTTCCTGCAAAGGCTTTATTATCATTGTGGGTTGGACAATCGGAATTTCTTTTAGTATAGGGGATTGCGAATATGAAACGGATTTTGATGGCTCTGCCGCTGCCATATACTGCATGCCTTTCTTCATCATGTATTCCACCTCTTCCATTGTGTCATTGAAATGTAATGACTGCTCACCACTCTCATTAAAGATGCCACAATTCTCTTTGTTGTCATTTTCAAATGACATTTCTAAATCAATTAATTCTTTATTCATGTTATTAAGGCCACATTTATTCTCAATTGAATTTTGTTGTAATAGAGCGCTGCTGTCTGTTACTGTAGCAATATTTTGCTTGACTGACTCTGCACCATTTCCATTGTCTTTTATTTCCTCTTCGTCTAATTCTTCATCCGACAGTAATTCAATAACTTCTTCAGAACTGTCCAAAGATAATGTTGGAGATTCTCTCTCTAGATTGGATTTACTAAAGTTGCTGTGCTCCTTTGTAGTTGCCAGATGTTGCTGTGGTGCCTCAAGCGTTTTGTCGAGACTAATTAACTCAAAACTTGTATCAAATGGCTCAGCATATTTCATCGCATTATCGTCTAGAATATGCGAAACTTTGCTCGCTGCACTTGTTCCAGTGCTGTCGTGGCCCGTTTCGTAATAACTGGTTGCAGAAGTTTCACTCCCTTTAACTGCACTTTGAAAACTTACATGTGATGAAACATCCCCATATGCACTTGAGGAGTTGTTGGAATCGTCGTCACCACATTCCTCCATTATGGTGGAAGGTCGTAGAAGACCCACCATCTTTACTGGAGATGTTTGTAAAATAGACTCTCCCACAATTGTTGTATCCCACAACTTTGAGGGAGCTTCAATATCTTCTAATTGAGTGACATCAACGCACTTTAACGGAGTTTCATTTTCCAGTAGTTTTTGCTCATCTACGCATAAGTCATGCAGCAATCGCTGTAAAGATTTTGCTTCTTCATCTATTTCTGTAAGCTCTGAAATATATTTTGGTTAGTAAACATAAAATTATATATTGTGCTTATATTTCATTTTAAAAGCAAACATGAATTTATTGTATACCTCTCCTGCTTGGAGTTTTAAAATTGGTTCCAACTGAACTGCGCTTTTTAGCATTTTCTACAATAAGTTCCTTGTCATCGCTGTGCGTGTACTGATACAACGTACTGTCCGGATCTGAGACGGTTTTATCGCACATTTTTTCCAAAACCATAAAACTCTCGTCTGATGAACATTGGAATTGTTCCACCTGTTGTTGGCCACCAAGCATGGTTTCATCACAATGTACCCTAGTGGAAAAATTCTTCATACCACTATTACAACGGGAAGCTAAGTTGGAATTGATAGGTTTATTTTCGTCGTTTTCTGTTTCGAACATATTTTCTGGAATATATTTTGAGTGACAGTGACTACTTCCTTCTCGGGGAATGATTTTTTCTTCAAGAAACACCTGCAAATCTTCTGCTAGATCCAAACTAAACCTTGTGCTCTGCACTGGGACGTGAATGGGAGGAGTTAAATTGCTATTTTGTGAATAAATGAAATGATAAAATATTTAAAAAAATGTATGAACGAATCAAGGCGCATGGATGCGTATGCGTATGGATGCGCCTTGGAACGAATGTATAAAAAATTAGAAGCATTCTACAATGTTATTGTGATTTAAATAATAAAGCGAATGGTATAAAAATATTTATATTTGGCCATCTTCTAGCTAATCATACAATCTTGTATTTATGTAGGTACGTATGTGCAATTTCATAGTCAACGATTTGGAAAAATTTCAAATTCTAAATGTAACATTTCTACGAGATCAGGGTTTCATTGAAGAATTCATTTATTGCCATGGACTTCCAATATTCTTAACTAAAATCTTTCAGACTACATGTAAATTATTCTGTATTTACCGTTGCATAACAAGCAATTTCTTGACTTTAGCACGCCAAGCTTTATTTGCTTGAAATTTTTCCAATCCAGACATTTGTATTGAGTAGAGATGAAAAAGTATACCAACATCCAAATTGTGTTGACCGCAGGCTCCAGCCAATTTACCGTAAACTTTTAAGTTTTCCGATGTTTATAATTTACAGCAGCCTTTCTTAACGTTTTACATTAATTGCTGTTATTTATGAGCCCATATAAAAGCAAGGCAAACCATATAGCAAATACATATATCCAAGCACAAATTACAATGCACGAGAAATAGAGCGTTGAAAGAATTTTGAAAAATGCGACCAACAAAATTGAACGAAGAATAGTGAAAAGCTACCAACTGTGCAATGTATAATTTCAGAGTTGCATCTTAACGATATATTACACTATGTTCACATCGCGTGAAACTTTCGGGTATCTTATCGGAAGCAAACTACGTAAAGCGTAAATACGTACCGCACAAGCAGCTTGAAAAACGAAGCAAAATAACGGTTTGCTTCAAGCTATGTATTTGGGTTGTATGTTAGGTTGTTTGAAGGTTTTACAAGCCATTAGAGGGAAATTTTAAGAAAAAACGAAAGTTTTTCATTTCCTGGCCGCCATGTTGACGTTTGATAGAACCGCTTGCGTTGTGAATTGAAAAATCGCCTCAATATCAAAATTGTTTAGGCGCCAAACACACCATACAAGCGGTTTGACCAATCCACTATTTTCATTTCGTCATTCTCCATAAAAGCGTTACTCGTTCCAGAATTTTGGTTTTCTCCCGACTCATAGGCCCTTTAACACACTTAGGGCCGGTTGTTCAATGTCTGATTTGCACAAATCGTAGGTAGAAGCTCCGGTTAAATACAACGACTGCTTTATCGATCACATCTTAGGTCGGTGTTATGCAGAAATTTTGTTTGGCAAACTGCGTGCAATTGTTGTTGCAGCAAACTCGGAGAGAGCGAGTTTGGCGACTCTCACAGCAAACTAATTTTGTTTGGTCAAACTGCAGCAAATTCGGTGTTGTCATATACAAAAATTTTAAATTTTGCGCGTTATGTACATCTGAAATTCTCATTTCGTGTTGGCAATAGCCAAGAAAACCATAATGAACGTGCAACCCTGTGCCAAACTCGACATAACCACCTCCGAGCAAACTAAGCAGCCGCCATTTAATTTGGCAAACAAAAGTTTGTCTGCATAACACCGACCTCATAAGCATGGTGACGAAAACGTCGATAATGATGTTTAACCGGCAAGTAGTCATAACCAGACATTGAACAACCGGCCCTTAGGGTCGGTTACTCAATGTCTGGTTAACACTAACTGCAGGTTAAACATCGTTATCGACGTTACCGACTCACTGTTGTATGCATGGAGTTGAAGACGTCGATAACGATACCGTGTTATATGCGCGGAGTCGAAAACGTCGATAGCGATGTCCACCGATGATCAGTGTCAATGTCTGGTTATCATGATTGCATGATTTCAGATCCTTTTTGATTTAAAATCCGCTTTTAATTAACGAATATATTTAATTTGTGATTTGATTTGTTGACCAAATAAAAGTTAAATTTTATTTTTGATTTGCTTGGTCAACCAAATAAAAGATAAGATTTATTTGTGATTTGCTTGGTCAATCAAATAAAAGATAAGTTTTATTTGTGATTTGATTCGTCAACCAAATCAGAAATCAAATTGATTTGCGATTTGAATCGCCCTCCAAATCAGAAATCAAACTGATTTGTGATTTGAAGCGCCCTCTAAATCAAAAATCAATTTTATTTGCGATTTGATTTGTAGAGCGAATCATTTGATTTGTGATTTTTCAACTAAGTAATACTCTTTTATGCAATGCAACTTCTTTGGGATTTTTGGGATTAAGTCGGAATTTCGAGACTACTTCGAGGTTTTCGGGGTTTTCGGGGCTATCTCGGGATCTTCGGGATTTTTGTGACCAATCCGGAATTTTTGGGAGCATTTCGGGTTTTTCGACACTATTTCGAGATTTTCAGGATTTTTGGGACCAATTCGGAATTTTTCTACTACATCGAGATTTGCGGGGTTCTCTGGAATATATCGGGTTTTTGGACAATTTCGGAATTTCTTCGGGATATTCGGGACTATTTCGGGTTTTTCGAGATTACTTCGAGATTTTCCGGGTTCTCAGGAATATATCGGGATTTTTGGGACTATTTTGGTATTTTTGAAATATTTCTTCGGGATATTCGGGACCAATCCGGAATTTTTCTACTACATCAGGATGCCGGGTTCTCTGGAATATATCGGGATTTTTGGACAATTTCGAAATTTCTTCGGGACTACTTCGGCATTTTTAGGACTATTTCGGGTTTTTCGATACTACTTCGATATTTTTAGGATTTTTGGGACTATTTCGGAATTTTTGGGACAAATTCCATATTTTCGGGGTTCTCGAGAATATATCGGGACTTTTGGGACTATCTTGGGGTTGTTGGAACCAGTTCGTAATTTTTGATACGATTTCGGGTGTTTAGAGATTTTCGGGGTTCTCGGGACTACATAGGGATTTTTGGGATCATATCGGCAGCTTGGGGACTACTTCGGGAGTTTTGGGACCAATTCGGAATTTTTGGAACAATTTCTGGTTTTACGAGACTACTTCGAGAGTTTTGGTGTTCTCGGGATTATATCAGGATTTGTGGACCATTTCGAGATTTTCGAGTCTACCTGGGGATTTTCGAGACTTCTTTGGGATTTTCAGGATTTTTAGGACTATTTCGGGTTTTTCGAGACTACTTAGAGATTTTCAGGTTTCGGGCTCTAAATCAGGATCTGCGGGACCACTTCGGAATTTTTCGACTATTTCAAGATTTTCGATACTTCTTCGGTATTTTCAGGACTAATTCGGTGTTTCTGGAATTGTTTAGAGTTTTTCTAAACAATTTGTCTGAAAACAGGACCAATCCTGGAAAAGATCCCTATAAACTGTCGTTTAAATTTGGAATCTTTTACTCTGAATTTTTGGAACAATTTTGGGTATGCAGCATGAGATTTCAGTATAACCTAAAATGGACAGCTAAAAATTCCCATTGATTTAAAAAAATTTGCGATGGACTTTTGTGGCTTTTTCATTTAACAATTTCCAATTACAAAAAC